GTAAAAGAAATAAAATACTGCAGACTAGTAAAATAAATAGTGTTTATGTCAAAAGTATTTTACCTGTAAAAATGATAGACTGTATAAACGTTAGAAAAGCAAGCGCCGTGTAAAGAATGTGAAATTGTAGAGAACAAGGTATTTAAATTATCTATTTATATATTTATAAGCAAACCGAAAAAACTTTTCCATAAGTTTATTGGCTAAACAAAAAAATTATCATTAGAAATGAAAATAAAATTGAAAATAGTAGACATTAATATGATTTAGTTGCGCCAGTTCCGCAATGCACCGGAATAATCGAAGAGTAGTCATTTTAACTCCTCTAGGAGATTACTGTGACTGCACTAGGAGATTAAAAAAGTTGTCCACCTACATGATTGAATGGATTTATACTACAAAGCACAGTTCGTGCGTAAGGTGATTTCCCTCGGTGCATGTTCGAGATTGGCTGAAATGCACTTTGTCGAATATAACGAACAACGAGTACTCGACTTGAGATGTCACTTAACTACGTACACAAATTGTATTGTACATACGCAAAAAGCGAGCCGCCCGAAGCACATTTTACTAGCACAGTAAAAAAAATTCTGCATAATGGGTCTACCTATTGTTTATATGGTTCTAAATTTTTTTCATTTCGTACGCAGTATGTTACAAGTGAGTGCGCCGAACAATCTGTGCATTTTCGATTAGTCTGTACACCGTGTATTACACTGAAAAAAATAAATAAAAAGGGGAAAATGAAACGTTGCAATAAATGAGGTCTAAGCTGCAATTCTTGTGTTTTTGTAGAGCCATGTACATGGCATATACTCGTTTTATAAAGTGTACATGCATAGTATTGAGTAAAAAGCATTGAATGTGCACTAAAACATGCACGTAATGATAGGAGAGGGTTGATTACACAAGAAACGCTGAACCTTCATTTTATGCACCCCTCCGTTTCTCTACATATTTCCTTCTCCGTTGGTGATAAAATAATGAATGCTTGAATAATGCATTTTATAAGAGCACTCGACTAATCCTTATGAGCCAATTGAGATATAGCGCAGTAAGCTGTTGTCACGTAGATTTTTTTCACACGACTGCAGATTTATGTCAACACTTGATACAGGCATAAAAAATATAATGTAGTTACTTTAAATCTATTCAAGTAAATCCTAGTTCGATATAACAAGCTTACGAAAGCCTTTCAATCAAATTTTTTTTACTACAAAATTAATTGTAAAATGGTTAATGCATACATGTATGTTAAATAGATTCTAATGTAACTTATAGTACCCACTCCATTCAATGTTAAATACATGTACTGTAATAAAAATCTACGTTCAATATATAAACAACATAACAATGAAATATCCAAAAATACGTTACATTAAATTGATTGCATTAGGCAACACTTTTATTAGTTTAAGTGCAAAATGTCTTTTACAAGCCAAGTAATTTTCTAGATATTAAAAAATTATGTTGTTCAGAATTGTATATGTCTCGTTTACCTGAATAGTTTGAATATGTCTATTAATATTATGCACTGACTTCATAAATAAAAAAGTCTATATTCACAAAACTCTCGAAGTATACACTGTTAGAGTTAAAAGTCAATATCTTTTGCATAAAGTTTTATATTTAATTTAAAGCTCATACGCTCTTCAAAAACTTTTTTCGAAATATGATCAATTGTTTTGTTATAGGACAATTTAAATATTATAAAGTTGTTATTTTGTAGTGTATTATGCGACTAAAAGATAAAATATATTGACATGTATGACGTATTACTGAGTTTAAAGAAAGCTTCAAATGAAAAACAATATGCCCAAATATATAGAATTATAGTTTTCATTTAAACGCATATATTAAAATCGGCTTAAAGGTGCTTTTAACGAGTTATTTAAAATGATTTAAGTGAATCAATTTTTAAATTTCTATAGCTGTTTTTTAGAACTTTATAATTAGATTTATGAATTCTATTAGGACGGTAAAATAAAATTTTCGTAAAAGAAATTTATAATACATTAAGTCTACTAAGATCTAAGTATTATTATTTTTACTTTAAGCTTAGAATATGATGTCGTTTTGGGGAAATAAATATATTTTAATAGCCAATAACCAAAGTTTTTTAATAAAACAATGTTAGTGCCCATTGAATTTAAACGATTTAAAAATTAAACATAAGTAGTAGAGATGTGTCGTGTACACCTAGCAAAATGTATTTTATTTCTAAACTTAAAATGAAAATGTGCGTTTTTAATATTAGATTTTACGTGAATTATGTTATCATCTTAATAAAATCTCGAATGCTGTCCGCTGTCTTCTTCTTTTTCCTCTCCTTAATCCCAAGTACTCGGTGCCTACTGAAGTGTCGTGCGCTGTAATCTATTAATATTTTATTTGCATTGATCGATTTAGGAGTTATAGTAAGTGAAAAGAATTTTCACGTCGACTGTCAGTAGCAATAAAGAGTTGCAAAAAGAATAATCGATTTGGCAGCAACGTATATCTGAATCAATAAAAAACGTGGCAGTGAGGAATGCCGCGAACGTGGCGGAGGACAGCAATCAAACAAGTCTGCCGAGGAGTGGGCAAAATCGGCAGCAACATGAACGGGGACATTTGTCGGTTGGGTTTTTGCACAAATGGTCGGCGCGTAGCAGAAGTATCTCGAACCTAAATGGATGGCCAACAATTATTCATCGCGTTCACTCCTGTTAGTTGTACATACTTGCACGTCACCTGTCCTCCATAAAACTAAATGTGTTTCTCTTGTCATTCTGGGAGTGCATTAGCGCCGCGCAGTCAGCCTGACATCGCTATCTTCGACCTAGTTTGGCACCACTCCGCCTATCTCATATCCCTTGGGAATATATGACAACGGATAAACAGAAAGATAGATAGACTAATGGCAGGCGACAAGTGCGGAAAGGTTTTGATTCGCCATTAGCCACCGCCAACGTTGACGCATTGATTGTTCCATTTCACATCACACACACCGTCGTGCTCATTACACCGGAAAATCTTCTGTAGACGTCTTTTCGTTGTGTCTAGGAAATCCATCAAGCAGTTAATGTATATGACTTTATTTTTTCCAACTCGATCGACATTATGACAGTTTTTTTTTTTTTTTATATAAACGTTAGCGCATCGAAACTAAACGCTTATATAAAACAATTGCTAATATTATTTACATTTCAAACTTATTAGAAAACTGTTACATTGTAAGGATAAAAACAACATGAGTCCAAAATAATTAATTGGACTCGGCGGTTTTGCAAAAGTTTGAGTGATAGTTATTAATCGAGTTTTAACACTTTTAATGATTATTTTATTTGGATTGGTTGTTGCATTTCTATTGAGCGCGTTTTATATTTATTGTTCTTACAACAAAAATCAATGAACATATTAAAATATTTAATAAACGCCAACAGTTGAGTAAAATATATATTTCATAAACAAATTGTTTATCAAAACTTAAATATTGAAATCGAATTCAACAGTATTTAAAAACATGTGCATCTAGTTATAATTTTTAACGATTTGACATTTTTACAAGTTAAACTGAACTACTAACGAACATAAACTATTAACAACAGGCAGCAAGAAATTATTTCTTTTTTTATTACACCTGTTAATGAAAAACAATAAATAAATCTTTATTTCTTTTACTTTCTTCAAGCTTACATTAGAATTGAGACTCTGTAAAATCAGAGAATAGTATATTTTATTAGTTTACGTCTTAGTAGTATAAATCATTGTGTACACTGTTTTCTATAGAGTAATGATATATTGAAATTATTTCAACACTGTTATAGTTGATACATAAATTTATTTTTAAAATGGAATATTACTCCGTGCGATATTTTAGGATAAAATAAAAGCCAATTGTGTTTTTCACAGTTCAGTTAGTTCGTCAAACAACTTTTTAGTAATCTCGTTTACAATGAACAAATATAAATAACTTTACAGATTATAGTTCTAAATTACTATCTAAATAAATGAAAATTTTGAGAATAAACTTGAAACTTAAACTGTCACTTGAAAATGCAGAAATTAATTTGAATTATTGAACGTTCGCCCGTTTATTTAATTACAGTCGTCTTATATTATTTTACAGAATACAAATGCAACAAATCGTCTGAGAAAAATGAAAACATATGACTTTTGTCGTGAACTGTAGAAATTAATGATTAAATTTATCAATGTTCGTATATTAATAAGTCTCCCAAAAAAAATCTTTTCTAAATAAACTAAGAATATCCAATTCAAAATATTCTGGTGGCAAGTACATTAATAATATCTTTTATAAATTTATACCACTGGGAGAATTTAAGAAAATATTTATTCAATAAAATAAAAGTGTTGCGAAATCGTACGGCTTAGCTAATATCTCGTGTATAAGCGAATGCGAGGGAATCTCAAGTGAAGCGAAATGGAGTAACCAACGTGTGTGTATATGATGTTTAATGTTGCATTAAAAATATCGTTGGCGTCAATGATGAAAAGCTTCGAGTTCGAACGATTTTCGAGGGGAAAAAAATACAGAGGGGCGACAATGCATAGACAGAAAATATATGGATAGTAAATAATATGAAGAGGAAATATTTCGCACCGGCAAGCTCACAGGCAGTGCACGCGCAACAGCGATCGCTCCATCGAGGCGATGAACGTTCGGATTTCCCGTCCTGTTCGATTTCCGGCGTGATGTGATCTCAATAATAATAAACGGTATCTCTGCTGGGTGTACCTCACAGCAGACGATATTAACATAATGTTTACTTAAAGCCCAGACGGTTCTCATTTCCCTTGAATAAAAAATAACTTAAATACTTGAGAATTCTCGAACAGACCATATGATTTGCCGCTCCTTGACTGCCCAGCGAATTATCGTTTTTGTTTATTTATGTATAGCAATAAGTATAAACACATTTTTATTATAAGAAAAAAAAACAATTAACAAATATTGTGAGCATGGTTGTGATTATACGTTATAAATGGGGTTTCAGCCGTGTTGCTGTAGCTGATCAGCCTGCCGGGAACGAAAACGAGCTGAAATATGTGTCAAGGTAGGAATTCCATCAACGGCAAATAGGTTTTGGAGTGTGTTTGTGATACTATTATATTTTGTTTTTGAATATGATAACGCTAGGAAGTGAACTTTTAGACAAATTCGCTTAACTATTAAAATAGGAAAATTAACCTAAATATTTTATCCAAACATCACGGAAATTTCGACATTTTACACAATAAAATGTTCGTCATTTCTTTCATGCATGTTTTTTTTTATTATCAATACATTAACTGATCGAATACAAATAAATTACAACATTAAGTAATCCTGGCGTTATCCATTGTTAATTTTGAATGATTTTTTTTTGTTTTTTTTTTAAGTTTGTTACATAATTTTAAGATGTTTTGATTAATTGATATACGGCTGAGTATTTAGAATATTGGTATTTACATCATCTTCAACCTGATTGATATCGCTTTTGACTTATTTTATTTAATCGGCTGCCAAACTGGTTTGTTTTGTTTTCTTTAATTTAAACAAATGTACCAAAAGATAATTTTTAATTCAAAAGCTGAAAAATTTTAATTCTATTTTTTTACAAAATATTATTATTATTATCGATTAAAAATCGATCTACATACTTGATGCATGATTTATTGTTTAAAAACTATAATTTTTTTTATATCATGAAGATCCATTATTTTTATTTCAATGGCATGCATATAACAAATCGTGCTAAAAATTATGGAAGTTATTAACAGCTATCGTTGTTATTACAATATAACAATACCGCACTTTAGGTGAATAACCATAATGCCTAGTCATTTTTTAAACAATTTAAAAAATTATAATTTAAGAAAATTTTTATTACTATCAGTTTAGCATTTTCATTATTCATTATTGAATATAACTTCCTGAATTTCTACCACCCAGTTTATATACATTATTCAACAGCGTTAAACTACAAAATAATACACCACATATTTTATTTTTATAAACATTCAATATAATAAACATAGAGTGATAACTTTATAAATTTCATGAAAATTTATTTGTCTCTAAACTGTATAACCGAACTGTAATTCTTGTAGTTTTCTCGATTTCTGGAATCTGTCCGACCGATCTTTGTGGTTTTTAATCGTATTTACCCGGTATACGGATTGACATTTTTATCAAGACCACTTATTTAGTCAAAAAATAATAACATTATTGTTAATTTTTTTTTCAGTTAGTTTATTTTATGTTCATTCCTTATACCTTATAATATACATAATTAATTAACTTATTTAGTATATAATAATCAAATTGAAAATCGAATAGTCAATAGTAACTTTTGGACCAGTAATTCAGAAAATCTCAACAATTTAAAATAATGACTGAGGGTGAGGCGTGAGTGCTGTTATTTTCATTTCTCCTCCTCACTCCTTCCCTCCTGGATATAAAAATGTCGATAATTTCTTCTGAGATATTGGTCCAATACTTCTTATCGAACAATCATTTTCTTAATTTGATTGTTCTATAACAAATAAGATAGTTAATTATGTACGAGTATATTGACATTTGAAAAATAGAGACAACACTCTTATTGGATTGAGAAAAGTATGAAACTAAAAGAAAACGAAGAACAACTCATCAATATAATTATTATTTTCAATAAATGGTTCTTGATGAAAGAATCACTCTGTATAGTCGTCTTTCGTCCGATACAAGCCCTTACATATTAATAATCTCAATTTCAAGCCTAACGCGGATAGTTAACAATTGTTCGCGTTTTAGCCAATAAACTATACGCATATTATATTAAAGCCACGAAACCGCTAATCGTATCGTTGCCGCATGAAGTTTTTTCACGGAAATTGGGCGTGGGAGACTAGGAGAAAAAGAGACCTCTAAAATATTTATTCGCGTGGGAGGTAGATTTGTATAATATGCATCATACATATATTATTATCCGTTCGGGTGGTTTTTTATCTTGCAGTCTAACCGGTAGGAATGGCCTGAATTGCGAGCACTTGGGTTATGTCGGGGCTGGAGGTCGGTGTTGAATTTAATAGTACACCAAGTTACCACGTAATCTAGTTCGGATACACAGAGCGGCGGTTTCCGCAGTAGCCGTAACGTTTTCACAAATAATACGTTCCACATTAAAACCGAACATAAATCAACCGTTTCACCCCTTTTCTCATACTCTCTCTCCCACCAGTTCAGCCCGCTACCCCATCGCTCACCATCTCCCCTTTCAACTATGATTTAAGACCTTTGCCCTTGTTCCTCCTCGAACCCTTTACTACTGTGCTACGTTTTGTGCGTATAGATAACTCCCACATACAAATACATGTACAGATCTTTCGTGCCGTCTGATTCACCCTGTGCACACCCTATTGTTGCCACTGGCCGCACTCGTGTAATACCAAACGGCCAGTTTTTATACACATTCACAATGAACACAAATCCCTCAAAACCGAGACGGTGACCCGTCGGCGTGTTTTTATGTTATTTATGATGTAGTTGCTTTTTTTTTTTTTTTTTTTATCTCAACGTTGTATTTTTGAAAATCTTGTACGAACGGAGGTCTGATTTATTGTCGTGTTACCTAAAAAATGATTGCGTTTTATTGCTATTCATTCACTTCTTATGCAATATTATTTTTGATGATGTTTGAAAGTTTTATTTGAATAATTCAATTGGAAATACAATTTTCTCATACCATTAGCACAATGCAGCGATATAATATTTCACTAAATTTATTAAAACAGTTACACTAAGACTGACATATAAGTTTACAAAACTTCAAAGTAAACACGTTAAAACTTTTAGAATTGTTCATATACTTGAGTTAATATGATTGTTAAATTGTTACTTGTTTGGTGGTTTTTGTGTAATAATATAGATGCTTAAAATGTATTATTGAGGTGAATTTTGTACATTATTTATTTCAAAGTAATAATTAACTAGTTGAAATTGTTTTGTCTTCTGAATTTAAACACCAACATAATTCTAATATGACTATGAACTATCAATTGAATATTAATTGTTTTTTTTAATTAATATGAAAGCTCAACTAAAAAATATCATTGTTTTAGACAATTTAAGAAGAATTTCATTTAATATTCCAAATATATCCTGTAGAAATATATAATGAATTTTTGAAAAATCCCGTTACATAATTCACCTATATTGTGTTTGGCTGAAATTCGTGATTTTATTTTAATATATAATTTTGTTAAAACGTACTTAATATTTTTACAGAGGCTTTGGATTCGTTACGTTTGCCGATCCAGCCAGTGTAGACAAAGTACTCGCTCAGGGTTCACATGAATTGGATGGCAAAAAAGTAAGTACAAAAAGTTTACATATTATTGGATTATTTGTTAGAATCGGTTTGCTTCAACTAGAATTATTTTTCATTAGAAATTATTAAATATTTCAAAAGTCATAATTTACAAAAGTTTAAAAAAGTCATTTTTATTTTCAATTAACGTGCAGATATTATAATAAGCTTTCGATTCAGTTTGTATTGTACTGTTTTTACCTTGAAAAGTCATCTCTTGAATGTAAACATTTTGTTCCTGTACTATTGTTGGACACGTTTGTGATTTAATAGTATATTTTTTATACTAAAAAAATAATAAAAATAAATGAAAAATAAGAAATGTTTTTTCAACAATAGTTTCTTTATATTTATTTATACGTGTCGAATAGTAACGTTCATTTCGATTGCAATTCAGTTGTGGGCAATGAGGGGAAATGAGATTAGCTCGTTTAAGTAAACAACCGTCTGAGAGATGCCACCATCTCCAAGATTTACTTTAAGAATGTCTTTTGCTGTCACTGTCGTGGGAATATTACCACGTGACGGACTGGCGACTTTCCATCCGGTTTACTTTCATCCGTCTCCCATGTCATCTGCACCCTCAAAAAGTCCGTTTCGCAGTATACACTTTTGTCGGGCGTAATCGCTCGATTCTGTAACTTTTCCAGTAGTTTATTCTCTATCTTGAAATATTTCGTTCTCTAAATAACACATGTTCACACACACTTACATTTTATATGCATTCAATTTTCCACTTAAAAAAATTCGCTCATTTTTTTTTTATTTTTAAATCTGTTACACGAAATGCGCGGTCTGTTTTCGCTCGGTGAAAATAATACTGTCACTGCTGTAAAATGATTCTATCGGCTACATTAATTCAGTTGTATAAACGCCACCTCAGGTTTTAAGCCAAAGTTTCTGGTATGTATATATATATATATATATTTATAAACGTTACACTTAGTTGAGACTTGCGGAGTCTTACCGCGTTAATACCGTATCATTGCGACGCACTTTTAATCATCTCAATTCGGAAATGATTAAATTAACGACGAAAGTCTGGATTAACAGAGTAGCTACTAAACGCTTTAGGGTACTCTGCAAGCATAAATAAATACAATTTCGCAAAATGCCCAAGCCCGCGAACACATCAATGTAAGTGCCGTGCTAGAAGATAATTCTAACCCAACTGTTCATATGAACATATTATATGTTCTGTGAGTAAGTTCAAAGTATTAGTTGCCTATGGTTTTTGGTTTGATTAACCGCACAAAATTAATGAAATCGTTCGAAAAGTCAATAGTAATTTACACACAAAACAATTGACCCGGGTGACATATACATCCGTTAGCAATGAATTTAGAGGTGCCAGATTGAATGAAGCGAATATTGATTGACTCCGAGCAGACCCGTGTAAAATGTCCGAATGATTGAATTCCATAGCAGATAGTCAGTACATACATGTCAGGGAATACAATACTTGATAGTCAACATGCATTAGGTCATTTTATTATTTTTACGAGTTTCGTACACATCACACACAATGTGTGATTCTATTTGATTTTCAATAACTAAAAATTATACAGAAAAACACTTTTAGGTACCTCTAAAATTATTTTTTTATTAACTAAATATTTATTAGCACGCAGTATCATTATTTTTTTTAATAATTGATTGAGTACAAACATAAGTTAACACACGTCTACAATGAATTTATTAAGAATATTACCACAATTGTTTCGTTAAATCGCGTTCTGTTCATAAATGTGATCTAAGTACAGTTTAATTAATTATTAAGAACAATGATAAAACCTAGTTTATTGAAAAAAAAACATTTTTAAGGGTATTTAGGGATAAAAAGTTAAGTATGGATTAAATACAATTTTGACTAATCGATAACCAGTTTTGTAGTATTAATTTTTAAGATTTTATTACTTTATTAAGATTAAGAAAAGGCTAGGCGTGGGGTAATATCTAGCGATGCTTTATTTTTAACATAAAATTCAGATTAGAATACTACAACTTTATGCACCTTTGTAGTCTATATCTTATAATTATATTAATTAAAAATTAATATTACAAAACTAATTGTCGACCAGTCAAAAACTAATTTAATCTATTCTTTATTAAAGGATATAAAAATAATTATAGGTTTCCGTTAAATTATAGGAACTTTAAAGTTATTAAAAAATACACTTAGAAATAATTTCTTCTTACAACAAACTTAATATTCATTATAATACATAAAAATAATAAAATTTTATGTAGTACATTTTTCTAAATCAATCATTACTTATCGCAAATATTCGAGGAATTATTCTTAATAAATAACACTGTATATATTTAAAAATATACGATATAATTAGTGGACTAAAAATATAATATTAAATTAAATATTCGAATTGAATTTAAAATAATTTATTTCAGTATTGTAGAATTGTAAAAAAAAGTTGTATTTATTAAACTAAAATTTTTATTTACATTTTAAATTTAAAAACAAACTACAAGTAAATATATTTTATTTTCCAGTGATTATCTCCAGATATATTTAAAACGTTTATTTATACATATTTTACGTTTATTTTATCGTAATTAGTTAATATCTTTTAGAGTTAATTTGTCGCCGTTTTGAAATTTATTTGTAAAATACAATATATGATAGTACTATGTATTACATTAAGAAGATCTTTGACATTTCTAACCAGTTAAAATGTATAACTCTTTACTGTGGTTGTAGTGGGTGGTTAGTGCTCGTGAACATATAAATCTAATTTTAGTCGGTAACAATCGAGGGGCGTTAGGATGACTTAGAAGGTTAAAAGGAATATACCAGTAGAAAAAAGCAAAGTAGTCTGGCAGAGAAAAGGGTCGTACTCCGAGATCAATTAATTAAAAGAGTCACACGTACAAGGGACGAGAGCAAAAACGAATGGCTGAGAAATCCATCTGATATTTATTCGAGACTGCAGTGAAACAAGTTGTACAGTAGAACAGAACGAACAGTGCAAAAGATTATCCTGTAAGATGGCAACGGCCGAATGACATTGTCATTGCCATACGACTAATGATTACCACCATGCCGACAGTTTGATTAAAAAACTACGTTTTCTCTCTATGATTCATGTGAACTTTTATATAAACCTTTATTTCCTTGGCATTTTTCTATCTGTTAAGTCAAATGTGACACGATTTCACCAGAAAAATGACATTTGTTATCTATATTTTTGTTACTTTTATTTATGAAAACATTTTGCTAATAATGGCCGTACCAGCTTATCATTTGAGACAGATAATTACAAATCGAATTTGGCAACGTTTTATTTTTGACATCAGTCACCTGAAAGAACGATTTATCTAATCTTGTGCTATGAAGTTTCAAATGAAAATTTTATTGTGTTTTTCATCGTAATTTTTTACTAAAATTGTCTCTTCTAACTGATTTTATTTGTAGTGTTCATGCAATCGATTAGGAAATATAGTTTCTAAATTTTTTAATTAAATTAAACATTTTATACGTACTCACTTTGTACTTTATTAGACTTTTTATTCTATTTATGATAGAAACATTAATATATTAAAAATGTTTTTAAATAATTCACATTATGTTTTATTCTAAAACAAATAAAATTATTATTTTAAGTGTAATCTTATAGGAATGTGATTAATCACTTGTTATTAATTTTTATTTATTTAAAACGCCGACTTGTTTATGTTAAGACGAATGGAATAAACTAAAAAGTGAAAACATTTTTTAAAAATCTAAACACCATTTACGCTGTTATGTTTAAATTATTATTTAGTACTTGAGATAGATAGAAGTTTAGTGTCCTAATTAAATTTACACCTCAGTTGTACACCGTTTGTTCTTATATACTTTTACCGACTGAATAATAATACAAAATTCAACTCTAGTTCGAAAATAAGTACCGAATGTACGCCCATTTAAACGTCACTAACAAAGTCTTGTGTAGTGTGAAGACGAGAAGGGTACGATTTAGATAATGACGGCGTGTCAGTCCGCTTATCGTCTTCACTGTAAGGCAAGCCGCGTCTCTACCGCCGCACCTTCATTTAGAAAAACAGACTACAGTAATTAATGTAGCTGTGAGTGTGTCCAAAGCAGACATCATTAAGCCATTCTGAACAATCCGATTTACGGTAGTAGTTGACTGACACCGACAGCAGACCTTTCGTATACTCGTGCGCATAGAATTATTAATTTGCAAAAATTATAGCGCATCGCCGAACAACCTCTGAAAACCGGCTGGACACAAATTGTTACGCTTAACCTACCGCATAATTTCAACATATGGTTTTTTCGTAATCCGCAGTTAAGTATTTGTTTAAAAAAACACGATTTATTTATTGAACGTTACCTGACCACTGACATACGAATGTATTATTTTTTAGCGCGAAATTCAATGAATTATTAACCACCGCGTCATCTCGTCATGTATCTGCATTTAAAAAAATATGGCGACTCAAAGGAGCCTATAAATCTTAAAGCTGTTAAATTATCGATGATTTATTTTTATTTCGCGCAAACATTCGACAATCTATCATGATGTTGTATTATGTAACACAGTTCTTATTTTTAATCGTTAAATAATGGCGACAAGAAAATCACGTTTAAATTTTTGATTGATCATTTTACGGTCGGTCAAATGTACTCTTGAAACGGTTTCCTTTATTTTTTGCGGTCGGTTTTTATGCGTTCGTTATACTCGACGATGGGCTGGAGAATTGCACTAGAAAATAAATTCTATCAAAACGCCGAGTACGTTCGGTATGTCTGCGTTTGACTGCATTACTTCGCCAACGCTGATATCCAATGATGTGTACCATTACGCTTCGATAAGTATAGGAACTCTTGCGATTCGCGCACAAAAATTAGAATGGAAAGTGGAATATACAATGTTCCCCAGAGACAAAGATATGGTAAATATTCTAGTCGGGTTATAAGCACTGCGAAATCGAACCTGTACACGGCGGCAAAACGTTTTTGCCGTTCCAACGGTTAC